CTATTAAACGCATTTTTGTAGTATAACTTTTTTGCTTTCCTCAGAAGTATTTAAAATTATATGCAACCTGTGACTGAATATGGCTTTTCATGCATGCAACAAACAGCATGGATAATTACATTTGCATCTAAAATACAATACATCAAACAAAAAGGACTGTCAAAAATATACTCTATTTGATAGTAATTTTAAGCACAAAAAAAAAACTGATGAATGGTTTTGCAAGAAAATTTATAATTTCTTCATTTACTATAGACATTTCATAGCAAAAATATACTAGTATACAAGAAGTAATTCTTAAATGTACACATACTTTGTTTTTAAACTTCTCCAGAATTTTTAATTAAATGTTTTGAAATTGTGCATGCCAGCTATTGACCATACAAAATATAAATGAAAAAAACTTTTTGATAAAGTAATGAGTAGTCCCCAAAATGAGCAATCAAGTTTCTTAGGACTGTGATTAGTCATTCAAAACAATGATCTAAACTCAGATTTAGTAAATTTTGGAATTTGATTTCCAATATCCAGGGTCAAAAAATTTTTGAGGACCCTCAAAATTGAATCCACAGATTTCCATGAAAACTTTCAATATTGTGAAAATGTGCAATCAAAAACGTATGCATTATTTATTCAACAAAACTAAACTTTGTTAAGTACACACCACTCAACTAAAACTGAAAAGAAACAATTTTCCCATACTATTAATGTTAAACTAGTGTGTGCTCATACAGAAATAATTATTCTGTTCAAACATTTGAGTGTAGTTGTTGTTTCCCACAAATCTTCATAAGTGATTCACTAGTATATGTATGTAATGTATAACGGCTCACTACAAGTGAAATTTTATTCTTCATTAATATGACAGAATACATAACAATATATATACTATGCATGTAAATGTGACAGCAACGAAAGAGTAACATATATATGAAAAAAAAAAGTTGAATATACAGATTAATCAAAAAATGATTCATACTGTATACAAAAAAAATGTAAAAAAATTTTGAAGTAAGTGTTTTCTGGAATAGAAGAGATAATTGTTTGCTTTACTTCTTTATTTAC